CACTCCTCACTCACTGGTAAGCATCTAAGGAGCAGACATTGAGCTGGTGGATACCTCCAAGTACCTGGGTGTTCACCTCAACACTAAACTGAAATAGTCCCACAAGACTGATGGTAAATGGTATTTGATATAGCACCTTCTAGAGTCCTGGACCCCCCAACGTGTTTTCCAACACAATCAGTCATTCACACATTCACACCCTGTTGGCGATGAGCTACACTGTAGCCACAGCTACCCTGGGGCACACTGACAGAGGTGAGTCTGCTGTACATATGCGCCACCGGTCCCTCCGGCCACCACCAGTCGGCAACGTGGGTTAAGTGTCTTGCCCAAGGACACAACGACAGTGACAGACTGAGCGGGGCTTGAACCTCTAACATTTCAATTACAGCAGGGGTGGGGAACCCTGGTCCATCAAGGGCCGCTATTCAGCATATTTTAGTTTCAACCCTGCATCATCACACCTGATTTCAATCAGCAGGTGATTAACAAGCTTCTGTAGAGCTTGATGAGCTGCAGAACAGGTGAACCAACCACTGAATCAGAAGTGTTGGAGCAAAGACATGCAGGATGCCAGCCCTCGGGTGCCAGGGTTCCCCACTCCTGAATTACAGGGTGAGCACTTAACTCCTGTGCCACCGTCACTCTGTATAAAGAGGGCCAAAGCCACCTCCACCTCCTAAGGAGGCTGAGGTCCTTCAGAGTTAATTCCCATCTACTAAAGTCCTTTTATCACTCTGTTGTGGTCTGTTGGAGTGCTGGCAGCTCTGACCGAGACAGAAAGAGACTGAACAAGCTAGTTCACAAAGTTAGCTTGGTTCTGAGCTGCCCACTGGATTCTGTGGAGGATGTGTGTGAGAGAAGGATGCTGATGAAGATGACCACCATCTTGGAAAGCCACTCCCACCCACTGTATTCCACTATGGAGACCATGGACAGCTCCTTCAGTGGCAGACTGAAACATCCAAGATGTATAACAGAAAGCTACCATAAGTCATTCATTCCCACTGCTGTAAGAGTGTTTAACTCCACAGTACTGGTACTGGAATTGTCCTGTTACACGCTGACATCAGTGCTATTTTCAATACATGTGAAATACCTGCAATACTCAGATGCACATTTATATGTCTGTGTTTTATGCAGTTTCTTTGTGGAAAGTCAATATTTTATTTTTACTATATTTTTACTAATTTTTTGAGTGCTGAAGGTTACGGTAATAGCCTAATACCAATTCGTATTTACCTGTATTATACTTTTCCTATTTTTCTAAGTTTATGTGCTGTCTGAAAAATTGAAGTTCCCCACTGTGGGATCAATAAAGTCTATCCTATTTTATTTTAAAGCTGCCAGAGTTTATATCAGTGATTCCCAACTAGGGGTATATGTACCCATAGTGGTCCATGAGAGCATTACATGTGGTATGCAGAAACATTATCCATTAATTTCCCACATGATGAGGTACCAGTCATTCACTATAATGTGACTTTTTTTTCAGATTTTTTTATTCATTTGATGAGAATTGTTGTGTTGCATTGTTTAGGAAAAAGATTAGTAATACAACATAAAATTATTTAAAAGGTTTTTATATATTTTTATTAGTTTTGCACAATAAATGTTCTTTAAATTAAATTCTAAACTTTTTACAAGGATTTTTCTGCTGTTGTTAATCTGAAAATTTTCATTTTGACATGTATAAACTGAAGAAAAGAATATATAGGGATACAGATTTTAGGCTATATGGCCCATTCCTACCCAAATGAATAATAAATTAAACTCTTATCAGCAAAAATATCAAAAAATAAAAAAGACAAAAACAACAAGTACATGAAGGAAAGACAAAGTGTGCAGCGGCATGATGCTCTGGTACTGAGGGGGTCTGAAGCCTCGTTCACATCAAATGCAGAACCGATGTGGTCCAGTTTCACATAGATCAGAAGTCATTGAGACCAATCAGAGCATTTACACAAGCTGTGGTGTGGATCTGGATGTGGAGCTCTGATAATTTTCTACATGGACTCTATTTTTTCTGGACACCACATGAGCATTGTCATAAAGGCGAAGAATTCACATGAGCCAGACTGGAAGTGAGATGTGGGTCAGCGTTAGGGAGCTTTAATTAAATGACTTTCATTTAATAATCAGTTGTACATTCCACTTTTGGGGAATCATCAACACGTTTGACTAAGGGGGTCCTCGTGGTGTGAGAAAAGGACTAAGGGGGTTCACAAGTCAAAAAAAGGTTAGGAAACTGGTTTATTGTAATTTTAACCTGTGTTTTCTTTATTTGCAATAAATTACTATGAATATACTACGGACCTCTATGACTTTGTTATGAAAATATAGTAAGAATTCATGCCAGGTTTTGCCAGAGCACCAAAGATCTAAATCTTAAATTACTTGTACCTGCAACATTTAACAATGAAAAACACCAAAGGAAACATGATTGCAGACTATTGAATGAGAGCCTTTGGAGATGTCCAACATTATTAACCAACCATTATTATTGTCCAATATTGATATAAAAAAGTATTACTGCAAATTATTGGTGTCTGATTTTACTCTTTTAAAGCTGCATTAGCAAATCTGCAAACAAGCTTTTGAACACAAACACGACCAAAGAAGACCAAGAGTTTACCTTTCTGATTATTTTTATTATTTTTCCATTTTGCAACAACAAATAAATAATATATGACTCAACAGATAAGTTCATGGTTTAGACGTCCGACAACAGTGCTTACACTAGGCCATTATGAACAAATAAATGTCAACAGCAAGTGGTGTGGTAAAGCATCACGATTTTTTTTCTTTTCTTTTTCTTCTTCTTGCAGGTGACACTAGAACGTTTTACGGTTTCTTTCTTTTGTGGTATAGTTTTGATAAAAATCAATCCAAGAGCTACTCCCAGACAGTTAGTACATCTTTTGAGAATACAATAATCATAATATAACATTAATATTTACATCTTCAAATGTATTTGTTGAGCAGTTGGGTACGAAACATTGCAGTAATACAACTAGATATTCACATAATATGCAAATACATATTTTTCCGTATTTCTCACTCAGAAAAAAAAATACAGTTCACCATTTTATTTTTTCGTAGTAAGAAGGGACGAACATGACTATTGTAGAATAAAAATGCCGTTAGAGGTACAACACAAAGAAAATCTCTTACGACAGGGAGGAATATCTGTTTTTTTTTAGATTGTTTTCTGAGCACAAACATAAGGGCTTCATTCAGTCTTTATTATTTCCATTGCTTAATAAACTCAAAAATCTCTTTTGACATGTTAAAACAAAGAAGTGAAATGGGGAAAAATAAACGGTGGTGGTATATGATGTGATAAGCATAAACCCTAGGTGAGAAGAACTGTGTTCTTTCAGTCCAACTTCAAAAGGCTCTGTAAGCTGGGCAAACATCCTCCCTCGTCTTCACAGGGCCAGCTTGACCCTGGCTGCCCCACAAAGGCATACCTGACAGTGACAGATGAGGCAGTGTGTCGAGAAGAGGGGAGGTGGAGGTGGGAAGGTTAGGTGGAAGGGAGAATGGGAGGTAGGAGTCCCATCGAGGAGGATGGCTGCCATTTCTGGGAGAAACTCTGACTCACTGGCCTCAGCGTGTTGCCAGTCAGGCTGCTCATCGCCCAGGGCCAGCGCCTATGTGTACACAGTTTCACACCTGGACAAACAACGAGATGGGCCAGGAAAAGCAGCCCACCCTTAAACACCTCTCTTTCTGCCCACCTTCTACTTTTGCCCCATCCAAAAACACTCACTATGGGCGACCAGCTAGCATTTACTCCTTTGTTTTGACTCCATTATTGGTCCGTTTCTGTCGTCTCCATGTCTCTCTATCACTGAGCCTTACACTTGCAATCAAAACGCATTGTTTATAATATAATATAGAAAGGCATATCTGAACAATAGATTTTAAGTTCACTTTTAAGAACTCCTTATGCATTTTGGCTATTTTGTGCAATTTTTAAAATGTAAAAAAAAAAACAGAAATAAACAACAATGGGCTTACACAGATAAAAGCAGAAGAAATCATCTTTTTTCCACCTCACACATAATTTAATGTTTGTTTTTTGTTTTGTGATAGTGGGCCAAAACCGTTCTGATATGTCCCATTGATGCACAACAGCAACGATCACAACAGACTGCGACAATGGAGATGAAACGGCAGGTTTGACTCACAACATATGATGCATTGTCTTATAGGAAACAATGTAAAAAAAATAACTTAAATGGAAATTAAATATAACTTAAAAAAGTATAACACTCTCAATAAATAGTTGCACTATTTACACCATTGTTATAAGACTCAAAAACAGAAAAAGTCACTAAAATACAAAGAAAAATATATCAAAGCAGCAAACATTACAGGCATGAGGTACAGCAAGGGATCCTGTGATGAGTACAGTAGAGAGGTGAGGTCGTCATCCAATGCATGAATGGAAGCTTTCGCCCATGAATACTTTCATTAGCTATGGCTTATATATATATATATATATATATATATATATATATATATATATATATATATATATATATATATATATATATATATACATACATACATACACATTAGGGCTGGGCGATAAATCCAAAATGTATCGTTATCGAAATTTCTGACTTTACCCAATTTTGCCATGTCAATAGATTTGATAATAAAAAAAATGAAAAGATGCGTGTAAGTTGGCGACGTTCGTGTTCCTTTAAGAAGCTGTATGACCTCATGTCACATGACTCAATGTAATACATGTGAGCCCCATCTAGTGGCCAACTTTTTTTTGCACATACATAGTTATTGTTCATTTATTCTCCTCATTATAAGCAACATTTACTTAAAGCCATATCGCACAGCCCTAATATATATATATATATATATATATATATATATATATATATATATATATATATATATATATATATATATAGATAGATAGATAGATATAGATATAGATAGATATATATATATATAGATAGATATAGATATAGATATATATATATATATATAGATAGCTATATATAGATATATAGATAGATAGCTATATAATTTTAAGTTGCCACGTAGTCACATTCGATGGCCTTTTATAGTCATTGCAATCAGTTGTTTTAGTATCCAGACAGAAGGATATTTTCTAAATTAATCTAAGGATGAGAACAGGGGAAAGGATCCTGATAAAAAGTTTCTGATTCTAACAGCTGAAAAGACTTTTCAGTGACCTCAGTGGCAAACGATGAACCACAGTACTGCATGTTGATATAGTGTAGTGACTAGTGGTACGTTTCTCCCCACGGTATGAGTCCTAACATGAAGCAGCAGTATCTGGATTACAAACATTAAATATAGTTCATGAAACATCAACATAATACAATCATTTTTTTGTTTGTTTACCAGGGCTATATAGTTTTCATATAAATTTTATAAATGTTATCTCTGAAGATCGTGTCGCCTTTAGAATGTCCTTACAAAGTTTCATATTTCACAAAAAATACAATGTCTTTCAAAAGTCCCTTTTGACGGGGATTTATTCATTTCCTGTCCTCTTCTTTGCCAAAAAATGTAAAGATTTTACACAAACACCAACGGCAACACAAAAGACAAATGCATTTGCAAAAGAAATAGACGATTTGTCTAAAATGCATCAAGTTGGACCCAGTTGCCTTGGAACTGGACCACTCTCGATACTTTATGAATGGTTCTGTTTCGTGGTGACCATAACACTGTCCTTCATCAACAACATGAAAATGCAAAGCCAGGTTAGGTAGCAGAAAAGTTCAAACCACAGATCCTCCGAACATCTACCTTCAGAGCAAAGTAAAACACTAATGACCGAATAGCTCACAAGCAACACAGGGAGTCAAATTACCAAATAAAATACAGTTTGCCTTTGATTTATGACAGTAGCAGCTTCTAAACATTTTTGAAAGATATACTTTTTCTTCTTACATAACATCTAGAAAGTGCGGTAATTGAGGTCATTATTACAAACACTGATTAAACATGACATTTAAAAAGAACAAACGCAAAAACAAGAAAATGAAAACATTTTTTCCCCCAACTCTTTGTTACCCTTGAACGTTTCCCACATGATTATCTGACTTCTTCCTTTAGATTCAGAGGAAAGTACAACCTTCGTTCTTGCTTTCTGTCTTTGAATGTTCTAGCCGTCCTCTAAAGTTGACCATAAAATGACATGAACGAAATTCGTCTCATAGTGTCACATGACGATGTGTTTGTGAGAAGGATCTGGAATGCCATAGCAGCCTAGAAAGGGTCAGAGATACCATGCAGGTGAGCTAAACAAAACTAAATGTATGACATGAGCTGCAGCGAGGTTGAAGCTGCAAACTTTGAACCAATATGACAAGCAGCCTTCAGTATAAAAAAAATGAATGGTTTGTATGTGTCTAGAATAGCAGCCATGTTGTCTAACTAACAGAAAGCCCAAATACACTGAAAAGTGATCTGAAGTGCACTTTGTACTTAACTAATCTACTTAAACTCGACTCACCAAGAGGTCTTAGGGTGCTTTGAAAATATTCGGGCTGGAAATGCTGTGTCGACGAATACATCCAAATGTCATTTTCATGTAAAACTCAGTTGCCTGTGGAGCAACTGAGTACTAAGCGGAAAGAGAGTGAAATGTGCGATGTGTCAAAGGGAAGCATGCTGGTTCAGTGGTGGTGGTAGTGGGGTTCAAATGGAGGGAGAGGGGCTTGTAAATATTTTGCTTTGTATTCCCGTGTGACTGTGGTGTGCAGTACTGTGAGATCAAGAAAGCCACAGGCCTTTGACAAGCTTTGTCTACATTCTGATCAGGACTGGGATGCTACTTTCAGTTTCAGTTAATTTATTGAGGTATTAAGGTTCTCATCAAGCTCCATAAGTGAGGAGTTCTAACTGAAACTAAAAACACCCCAAATCCCTCAGTGAGGTTAAGGATAACATTCTTTAAGTCATGATCAATGTGTTGTTGTGGGGTTGGGAGTGAGGTTCTGGAGTTTCTTAGGTTTAGCGCCTTCTCGTGTGGTGTCCTCAAGCTTTCTTAGTAAACGTGAGATGACAGGGTTGTTTTAGCATGCAAGAGGAACTTTATGCAGCTAGGAAGACAAAGCTGACTCAGCCTTAAAACAATAATGTCACAAAAATGAGCAAAAGCCACAATAAATGATCTAATTCCTTCAGGGTTTTGTTAAATGATTGATTTTCCTGTTTCAGTTGGGCTTTTTTTCTTTGTCAAATCTGTGGCTTGAAGCAAAGATGGCGGTCTCATTCCCATCCAGTCTAAATGGCATCCCTATTCATGCCTTCACAGAAAACTAGGAATGAATGCAGATACAGAGACTATCTGCCAAATAGTTGTCTGCTATAATCTAGTAGATCCTCTAAAAGGGAATAGGGATGGGGCTCCTTGAGATGGTGGAGTATTTGTCTTCATATCATTCATATCTGTAAAATCCCAGAGCCAGCATCAGCACAATCCCAAACTTGCACATTTTGATTTACCTTTGGTTCAGTCTTATAATTAGAGTGAGGTAACTTAAAAAATACTTAAGCCAGCACAAAACTCAACAAACTGCATGCTACCTATGCTTGGTTACATTTATTCTTTGTGTGTTATCTTTCCCCAAACAATTGCCTGTTTTGTGTTTTTTTAAATACTATTCATGTTTTCAACGGCTGCATCTCAGGAGGTACTTTCTTCTTAGCTGAGATATCAGGTTTTTTTTTTTTTCATTTTTTGAGGTGGAGTCTAATAATTTTTGTCCTCTTTTCATATCTTCCGTTGATATGGAGGTGGAAGCATTTCAAGCTGGCAAGGACTGCGGTAGAGATGAAGAGGTATGCCTTTAAAGCAGCATGTGCAGGAAATTGGGGGGCGGGGGCCGAGAGGAAGATGATGGAGGGGTGTGAGGTCTGCCTCGGCCACTCTGGCTGTGTTGTGTTGAAGAAAGGGCCCTGGGTACCCTGAACTGACACCACTGCTCAGGTTGATCAGCCCAGGGAATGGACATGCTCCTCATTTCTGTTCTCGATGGCGTTCGGATCCCGGCAGGAGCACTCGTTCCGTGTGTCACACGCCGTGGGGAATGGAATTACCTGAGTGGGACAAAAAGAGACGTGAATGTTAACTTTACAGCTCAGTTAAAGATTATTTGAATTCAAACTTTCAGGAATTAGAGTTGGTGAGCTTTGGAAACCAAAATTGGCCGGACCTTCTATTAATAATTTTCATCACGGTATTCTTGGGACCATGAGTCTACTGTTAGGTCATTTCTTGAGTACCATTGGAGTATTATCGGATCATCTTTGTTTTCTTAAAATAATCATGACGAAATCTAACAAAAACACGACATTTTTTCTCTAAATAAGATGACAGAGTTTAACTTCACTTCCTTTACACTTAGAGATGATTTACAACAATAATGCGTTCATCTGTGATGGATGTTCCCACTTTCTCAGCCTGAATCAGGAGTCTGCATGTTCCGATTTCTGATGTTGAAGTACCAGTTTTTGTTAGCCTGACAAGCCATCCTATGTATGTAAATGTATTGTCCGGACATGACCCATTGATTTGGGACAACAGTAGCTCAAGAGGTACAGCGGGTTGTTCAGTAAATGGAAGGTTGCAGGTTCGATCCCGACTCTGACCAAAGGATATTGCTGTTGTGTCCTTGAGCAAGACACTTAACCCAGCTTGCCTGCTGGTGGTGGTCAGAGGGACCAGTGGCGCCAGTGTCTGACAGGCCTCGCCTCTGTCAGTGCACTCCAGGGCAGCTGTGGCTACATCGTAGCTCATCTCCACCAGCCATGTGAATGACTGATTGTTTTGTGAAACGCCTTGGGGGGTTGCAGAACACTAAGAAGGTGCTATACAAATACACGTCAATTCCCATTTACCAAACAAACCTTTTAACTCATTCACTGCCAGCGGTCCTGCTCAGAAAAGGCCTGCACTGCCAGCGTTTCCACTGTTTTTGGAAGAGTCACGGAACATTGTGCTCTATGATGATGTCAGCGCCAAATCTACCAAAAGAGAGGACTCATTTCTTTCATCAGGAAGTGTTTCTAGTGTTATCCATTCTTTCACAGTCCGTTGACGAATTCTGAGCGGCAGAAGCTTTTCCGGTTCGTTCATCTCTTTTTTACGGCAGCGGCCCAAAACAGTCCCCTAATACATGGATTTTCTGCTTCTTGATCATGTGACGTGTGACATACGTGGATGAAGATCAAATTTAGAGATGTGAAGTTTGTTCTCATGGTGGGGGGGCTCTTTCCGACGCCCAACCTGGTAAAAACCTGCAATTGATGACTTTAGTCTTCAATGGCAGCGAGTGGTTGGATTTAAAATGACGACTTTAGTCGTCAACGGCAGTAAATGTGTTAAGGGGCAGAATCTGCAGTTGTCTTTCAAACCGTCACCGTACACAACTGGGCAGTGCTAGGGACCAATCAGAGCAACAAAGTGACATATTAATCTCAGCAATCAGACAACAAAGCAGTCCACCATTCACTATCGAAGAAGAGGACAAAGACAAAGAAGCAAATACATCTTTTCTTAAAATAAATTGCTAAGGCACCTCTATCTGCTAGACTGACAAGCCATGTAGTCTGGCTATGAGCTAGTTGTGGGGTGGAATCTACGGTGGTTTATGAAACTGTCTTCATGCGCAATTATACAGTACTTGGACCAATCAGAGCAACAAACAACAAGAAATACTCATCGCTATGGAAATCAGTCAGTAGCTACGTTTACATGGGCACAAATAATCAGAATGAATACTCTATCAGATCAAAAATCCTTCATGTAAACACATCAATCAGAATATTCTGATCTGATACGACCCCATCAAAATTAAATTCCTTCCCAATGAGAGAGGTGGTTTTGTCCAGTCATTGTCCCGATTGATGTCCATGTACACACCCATTCGGATTGTTGGGGTAAAAGCATGGCCACTGCACGTGTGTGCAACTTCAGCGTGTCGCCTTTCCACCTTTGCAGATGCTCAGGATAAGTCAAAAACATGGCGGGAGGTAAACAGAAGGGGTCTATTGTGGACACTACTTTTTTACTGGAAACACTACGAGATATTGAATGTCTCAATGGCTGAAAGGCTCGAAATGCACTCAAGTGCATCTAAAGATGCAGGAAGCAAGAATTCACCAAATTTTCAACCATATCAAAAATCGCTGGAAAGGTAAATCAACGGACAAAGCTCGAGAATAAGAAAATAAAATGCAAGTGAAAAGATGTGCGGACAAGATAGTGTTTGGTTACAATTCTTTTTCTAGGAAAGACATTTCTGCGCATGATCAAACGATCTGATTGAATGCTTGGTGCATGCATACTCGTGGTATGATCGGATCATTTCGGTTAATGTTCATGTAAACAGAGATTCTGGATTTCTGATCAACCAAGATGTGTATCACTTACAATCAATTTCACGCATGTAAATGTAGCTAATGAGGCAATCCCTCGTACAACATCAAAGAAGCAAATACATCCTATTTTGAAAAAAAGGCTTAAGTACCTTAGTCTGCTCATGTCTCAAACAAAGGCTCAAGTCTAATTTGTCCAAAGTTAATGCAAAATAGTTTGTTTCTGTCGTAGCTCTGGTGCGTAGCCTGCCCAACAAACAGAGCGCTGCAACTGGCAAGACACAAAACAGTTTGGGCCATGCTGACGCTACAATGGAGTGTGGCTAAACCATCTTACAGAGCTAAATCTTTTTCTACTGCTATGGTTGATGTAAATTTCTAGGATTAGGGTTAATAACTTTTGTAGTTGTTACTTTGAAATTATTTCTAATAATCACAAGAAAACAATGCTTTTAAAGTCAAATAAAATTGATGTATGTGTTATTTTCAGATAAAGTTGGGAAGACCAAGCAAGTTCTCTTTCGGTTTCTATACTACAGAGCACATAGCTTTGAGGGAAAAATAAAACACAAGGTTTTCAATGTAAAAAGGTAAAAGAATAATACATGTTTAAGATTCTTAAAGGATTTTTAAAGCTGTGGTTCACTCGTTTAACCAATGCATTTGCAGTGGTCTGAAGTAGAAATGAATGCCTTGTAAGTCGTACAGTCAACTCTATTCAATTCAATTCAAGTTTATTTATATAGCGCTAACTCACGACAAGAGTCGTCTCAAGGCATTTCACATATAGGCACTACCACTGAGTCCGTTTGTTCTGCAACACTGATGTTTTATCTCCCCAAATAACACAAGCCTGGAGGAGCTCTGCTGTGTGGTTGAGTTGTTAATGCTAACGTTAGCTTCTACTAGCTGAGACATCATCTGCTGTTTCCTGGGCGCTAAACCATTAAATGAATGAATGAATGTTAAGGGACAGTGATGTAGATCTGTCAGGCTTTTCAAATCCTGGAGTTTCACAGTCTATTTTCTATCAGAAGCTAATGCAGGAGATGGGTGGAGGAGACTCAGTGACTGATTATATTTATAAATAATAATTAAAAATGTTTATTTCATTTTTTTTGTTTTTGAACTGCACTTTTTGAAGAAAAATCAACAAACTTTTATCTTAGGTAGTATTTCAGTGGGTACTGGGTTAAACAATCAGGTAATGTTTCATTTCACGTGTGGGAAAATATAACTTAAAAATAGTGTGAAGTTAGATTTAAAATATTTCTCTAAAAAGCACAGCAGAAAGAAAGAAAGCTTTTTGAAAAGTAAATGGGTTAAATTGAAGAAAAAAAAAACCTTCAAATTTGCAGCCAACTGTTCTTTACACAACACATTCTCACTCCCAGCGTGTCAAAAACAAACGCTTGGTCAGCCACCCTCCGCATCAGACCCCTGACGCCAAAAGTGCCCTTTTTCGTTACTTATGTGCGAAAAGTGGTTTTTCCTTTTTCTGACTGCAGATCCCAATGCAGCGTAAAACTGATGCGATGGGATGTCCGCAGCCAGGGCACCAAAGCAGCTCATTGTACCTCACCCAAACCTTATCCTTTTGTTATTTAACCTTCCCCTCACCCCTATCCTAACCTTAACCACCTTGCTAGCTAACATGTTAGTGATGTGTCGGTCGCTCTAAAAGCCGGCTCTATGAAGTGAACGGAGGGAGCCGCCTCGTCATTGGTCGGGTTTGGACAGAGGCAAAGCGAGGGGGAGGTTTCAACTACCACGGTGGAGGTTAAAAGTAGAGGGTATTTGTAACCTCCCCTTCGCCAGATGGTATGTTCTAACGTTCCCCTTGGGCGGCAAATACGAAAATTCACAGTCAGAATGCATGGGAAACAAATGCTTGATCACAGTGAGAGTAACGTTTTAGGTAGCAAAAGGGTTAAGGTTAGGATGAGGGAGAGGGGAAGGTTATAAATAGCATAACGTTAAGGTTTAGGTGCAGTTAAATGAGCTGGTTCGGTGCCGCATCAGCGGACATCCCATCGTGCCAGTTTTACGCTGCATTGGGATCTGCAGTCAGAAAAGGGAAAAACCACTTTTCGCACATAAGTGACAAAAAAGGGCACTTTTGGCATCAGGGGTCTGATGCGGAGGGTGGCTGACCAAGCGTTTGTTTTTGACGCGCTGGGAGTGAGAATGTGTTGCTTTACATTGTGTTAGGGTTGTCTCTTCTTACTGATAAATGTTCCAACACTGCATCAGTTCAGAATGGAATGAAGCTAAATAAATAAATAAATAAATAAAAGATGCCAAAGGTGTGCACCTACTGCAAGCAGAAGTTATTTTACCCTGTGAATAAGTGATCCTGTCATGCAGTGTAGAAAGAATTTTTCTCTTCTAATTCTCTTCTAATTTTTCTAATCTCATAACAGTTTATGTTTTCATGTATTCCCATTTTCTCTGATAGTTTGGTGTTAGCATGAAATACTGCCCGTGAAAGCAGAACAGGATGATCAGTGGTCATTGGCCCTGGCTTTGACGTAACTGGATAATGTTGGCAATGCGTCACCAGCACCAGCTGCTGCAGCCTTGTCTGCTTGTTCACCTCTCGAGGGGTTGGCTTCAGCTGTTTGGGTACACAAAATGTGTCCCCCTTCTCCAGGCCAAACAGGAAACACGTGTTGTCCAAGTCATGCCACGCAGACAGCAGACCAAGGACAAAGATTGTA